ACCGTAATTATTGCGCAATATTTCGGGCCGTAATAACTTACGTAAAATTACGTTAATATATTTCGCTGATGTAGTACTCAATTTATTGCAGCTATATTTAGGTAAGAGCTAAGCTCTCTCAAACAATATATATATCATTCATAACTACAAACAGGGAGTTATTGCAATAGCGAGCCTGACATCATCTGGCTGTAATAAACATGCCCATATGCGACTTGTCACACCAACCTGTATACAAGTTAGATAAACTTTGTCAGCTCATCAAAGCTTTTTCCTTCATATCTCATTTCTTTACTAAGAGCAAAAGAAAGTAATGATCTTATACAAAATCACCAATACTACTAAAAAACAAAAAGAAAACCTAACTAAAAAAAAACAAATAGAACGAAGAGGTATTTTTAAAGAAAAAAAAAGAGGGTACAATGAGATATAAAAAAAAAAAACACAAAGAAAAAAGCCCGAGAGCTAACAAAGGGTGGAACTACCTCTATAAAGAAATAGCACAGGGAAACAAGAGAAAAAATACAAAACAAGAAATAAAATACACTATTATAACTCATGCCAGGTTTAAGAAAAATTTTATAACAACTGCAATGTTTGTATATCTTAATTACAATATAAGAACTTTAATATTCGACTACCGGCCACCTCCGAATGCCTCTTATACCAAAGACCCGATTCTAATTACATGGAGGACCCGTATCTATAGATTACGTCACGTATTGTATCTACTGATAAACAAGGCATGTGGTTGCATTTCTGGGTACGTCCAAATTTGGGAGGTAAACAATACCGATCTTTTGGAGGGAGTAAGCTGAATTACCCACTTTTTGTTGAAAATTTTGGAAAAGACCAACAGGACCAAGAGAGACTTAAGAAAAGGACCACTAGCATCCAACAAGAGTATTTTATCCTTGAAAGAACTGATGACTAGTAACTCTTTTTCTAAGAAAGGAGAAAAGCTACTGTACTTGCTTTTCAGTAAGTGATAAACTCTGGACTTGTCAGCAAGTAGCATATGAGAACTACTTCTAAACAACAAGTGCCGTACAAGCAGTGAGTAATAAACTTTGAAGAAGTTAGCAGGTAGCATATGAGAACTACCTCTAAATAACAACTGCCAACTTATAGTTTCCAGTTTTATACTCTTTATTACTTACTAGTTACTGTTTTTACAAAAAGATGTTTAGGAAATTTTGGTTTTAGTGATCATCAGAAAGAGTTGATATGCTTTGATAAAAATTATTATTATAAAAATAATAAATCTTTAAAAATTAATAACTTTTGATCTATTGATCCAATTTGGTTAATTTAATTACCAAAATGATTCTCTCATAGAGGCGATTATAATAAATCTAAAATCAACCAAATCTAATTATGTGATCTTGAGATTGTTAATGTTTTATGTTATATTTACTATAGTAAATATAATACAAATAATTAATGAACTTAAATAAGATTATATAATTAGATTTAGCTGATTTTAGATTTATTAAAAACAACTCTATAAGAGGATCATTTTGGTAGTTAAATTATCCAAATTAGATCAATATATCAAAAATTATTAATTTTTAAAGATTTTATTATTTTTTATTAATAAAATTTTTAATAATTTTAATTTTTCTCTAATTGCGGTCCCAGCAACATGCACTTAGAGGGAGTCGACTGTATAGTCATTATATTAATAATATTATAGCGTTGATTAAGAGGATACTAATAGCAAAAATAAGAGGTATAAATAGCAATGCCCATCATTAAGAACTGTAATTATTGTATTTTTATATCATGATTAGTTAAATCATTTTTTACATGGGTGGTGTATGAATAGCAAAAATAGAAGGTACAAATAGTTTTTTATATTTTAAATTAGCTACGTACGTACGTGATAATATTCATATTTTTAAAAATTTATTACATAATTTAACATAATAGAAGGTAGCGCATACATATTTTGGGTTTGTTGCCGACCGTGCCAGTCAATAAACAATACGCCGATTTTTTATTGGTTACAAACATTGTAGATCCATATCTGATACCGAACTAAAAAAAACACGAAACATACGCGTAATCAGGTACTGTCAGTCTCAATTGTCAAAATTATATAAAGTCAATTATTTTTAATTAAAAATTCTATACGGGAAATGGAACAATATGAGCCTTTAGAAATTATTGGTACAGGATCTTTTGGCCTCATTCGTAAAGTAAGACGAAAATCCGATGGTAAGGTATGTCAGATATCATTCTACGATGTTTTTAACAGCAGCCAAATAAATTTATGATCAAGAAACATCAACTTAGTACAACGAATAGCTAATTTACAGTTTTTCTAATTATTATTGGTAGATATTAGCACGCAAAGAAATTGACTATCGGCGCATGAATGAAAAAGAAATGACTCAACTTATGACAGAAGTTAATATTCTCCGTGAACTTAATCATCCCAATATTGTGCGTTACTATGATCGACATATTGATCAAATGAACTGTATGGTGTACATTATTATGGAATATTGCGAAGGAGGTGACCTTTCCTCAATAATCAAGAAATGCAAAAAAGAAAGGTGGATAATCCTGTAGTTTCCTAATTTTGATATTATTATATTTAATTTTTTAACTTTTTTTCATTATTTTCAGAAATTATTTGCCTGAAAACACTATCTGGTACTTCTTTATTCAGATATTGCGAGCGCTTCATGAATGTCATTATGGCTATGGTAGTAGCAAATGTGGTTCAGATCATAGTCAACAACACATAACGATATTACATCGTGATATAAAACCGGATAATGGTTCGTTTTTTTATCTAAATTTATTTGTATTTTCGATTATTTATTAGTGGTTTATAAGAATTCAAATTTTTTTCCTGATCTTGGTAATTGCACAGTATTATTGGGTAGTGATAATAAGCTTAAATTGGGCGATTTTGGTTTGTCGAAAAAGCTGAATTTAGGTCGAGAACTTGCACAAACTTATGTTGGTGTAAGTATTTATGAACTCTTTTATATTAAGAAAAAAATTATTTATATGAACTAATCGCTGGTCAGCTATATGAATTTATTAGACTCCTTATTATATGTCTCCGGAACTAATAGCTGAATCACATTATGATACTAAGTCTGATATTTGGTCACTTGGATGTTTACTATATGAGCTCTGTGCTTTACAACCGCCGTTTCAAGCAAAATCTCAACCTATTCTGGCACTAAGAATCAGCGCTGGCACGATCTCACCTATACCATCACGGTATTCGGATGAACTTCATAATATAATTAGAACAATGTTAATGGTTGATCCGAACAAAAGGCCTACGACTGCAGAATTAATGAAGAAGTTGAATCCAATTAGGGATATAACATATCAAGAAGAGGAGCTTAAGCAACGAGAGGTAGCTTTAAACGGACGTGAAATAATGATAGCAACTAAAGAGGAAGAATTAAGCGGACGTGAAATAATGATAGCAACTAAAGAGGAAGAATTAAGACGAGGATTTACAGAACTTCAACAACGCAAACAACAATTAGATTTTGAAAGACAACAATTTACCAATGAGGTTAACCTTCACACAGAGCAGTTTAGTATGGAAGTCCAGCGAAAAAATGAAGAATTTAAAGTTGAATATGCAAATCTTTTGCAACAAAAAGAAGAATTAAATAACGGCTTTCTAGAGCTTAAGCGACAGAAGGACTTGCAAGAGCAAATCTTTCAAAATCAAGAATCAAGTTTAAATGGTGAGGCAGTTGTAAAACCTCCCGTCCTACGGCAAGAAATACCAAAGGCCAGACTGAGAAAGTTAATATATCCCCCATTAGAAGCACGACCTAGAAATAGTACATCAGTATCAGTATCAAGCATGATTTCTCAAAAACGATTACAGCAGAGTTCACAAGGATCCAGTGTATGGGATATGGATGATGATGATTTGCCATCACCTTTTATAAAGCAGACAAGGAATCGGCCTTCGAAAAGACTTGACCGAGCGGTAACGAACTAGGGACTGAATAGTTTCCGGTCCTCGGTCCATAATCGTCCGGTCCTATAGTCAGTGTTTATATTGGATTTTAAAATTTTATACGATATGTGAAAATAAAATTTTATTTAATAAAATTTATTTTGTGCAATTTTATTACTTTTTTCTAGGACAACGTTTCCATAAGTTATATGCTAAAGTAGGACCATTCATAACTATATATCATTAAATGAGAATTAAGTGTATTTAATTGCATTTGATTACGAAGCTTTGTTTTAATTAAATTTTGTTGAGAAAATACGCGCTCAACATTTCCATTTGAAACAGGAACTATTAATGCTAAATGAAAAGTAGACTAGTGGTGGTAGAGATTACGCTATCAACGATCATTTCCGACCTCTTTCAGAAAGTCCGATAAAGCACGTAATCATATTAAAATAAATCATTAACGTTAAATCAATATTAATATATATATATATATAATAAATATATTGATAATATATAACTTAAATTATATGCTAATAAATCGATGGTAAAATTTATATATTAAAAATTAAATTCTAATAAATCGTATACAAGAGCGAAGTTTTGTATAGTTAATTAGTATTAGTGCAATATACAGTTGTTAGGCTTCCGCAAGGGCCGGGTACCAGCAGTACCCTAACCCTACCCGCCCAGTGTTAAAGATTTGATGTTCCCAGTGTTCTCAGGGACATTTAAAAAAATTTGGGAACACTAAATTTAAAATTTATTTTCCCTTTTAGGAACAAAGTGGGAACATAAAAGTTATAATTTGTGTTCCCTATAGTAATGGTTTTTTAGTGTGGCAAGGGTTTTTTTTTTATAGTTGTGGCATGGCATGTTTGCTTTTTTTTAGTCGTGGCATAGTATATATACTTTTTTTAGTATTTAAATTAATAAATAAATTGATTAAATTAATTTAGAGAGAGAGAGAAAGAATTTATTAATTTTATTATAAGAATATTAAAAATTTTTTGGGAACATAAATTTAATATTTTATATTCGTAAAGAACACAAAAAAAATTTCAAATCTTTTTCACTGTACCTGCCTATAAAAGGGCTCAACTATCCGGGCCCTACCCTTGCTTTAGAGTTCAGGATCTAGTACCTGTACCCATTCCTTATAAGCTAGGGTACTCTCTGAACTACCCACAGATACCTGCTAGTGGTTATAAGCTAACTGGCTATAAATATATAATATTGGACTTTTCTATATATCTCTGGCCAGAGATATATAGCTTATGTATCTCTGGCCTTTTGGGCCAATCAAAATGTGGC